AGTTTAATCACTTAAAATTCAGGACAAATTGAAGATTGCCATGTAATGTTACTTCACCTCTTTAGTGTGTTTATGCATCACAGTAAAGTGATATAGTTTTTAATGACACAAACACATTTTTTCCCCCAAGAATGCTGCTTTTCATGCGTGAAGTACATAGCTGAAGTTGTCCCTGCAAAAAAACAGGATGAGGTTGACACCTGTCATGGGAAATTTCAGCAGTATCTGTTAATATTTGGCGAGCAACTGAGAACAAAGTCTTGTAATGGAAATAAGTGGTTGGGCCCATAAATAGTCCCAGTCCATCAGAGAGCACACAAATCTAGTGAATGTAAGGATTTATATCATTTCCATGTTTGGAAATGAAGAAGTCATTTCTTTCCTTTTAGTCTTGTTTTGTCTTCATACAAAATGAATTTTAGATCTGAAGTCCCATGTGGAGTTTCACTGGGGAAAAAAATAATTCCTTTTATGTCATCCTAATGCTCTAAATATATAAGAATATAAGTCATAGGCACTTTTAGTCATAGATACTTAACTTCAGACGTTTCAAAGTATTCTGTTTTTTCAGCAGGCAGTTGTCTGCTTTCTGAAAGTCAACCTTTGTTAAGGTGCCTGAAGATCAATGCTGATACTCCCTAGTCACTTTTGAAACCTACTTCTAAGAAAAGGCTAAGACACAATGCCAGTAACTGCAAATCCATCTGTAGAGAGAGTCAGATAAAAAGGCCATCAGAATGATTTTATGGGGACTCCTCAATTCATCCTCACATTTTTTGTGTAACGGATATTCTGTTCTCCGTTTGTTCTTTATTTAGTTGTCCTTTATTTCCCATTCAGTTTTAGGAGAAACTGAAACCTTGTGTTATGGCAGAAACAGCTGTTCTATTAAACACGATCACAGAACCCCAAACAGTCTAGCCTTTGGCATGTGAGGAAGTCAGGACTGGTGCTGGCTGTGGCTGAATGAGATTGCTGAAGTACCCCATCACTGAACCTCCTAAGCCTAAGTACTCCACCCAGTCTTACTGCCATGGTCAAGCGGGCAGGAGTGACACTTTCCAACAGAGTGATTTGTCTCTGTAGAACTTATTACAGACCATATCCTCTGTTACATTCAGCAGTGGACTGAAAGCATTGGTTTATCTGCTCTTCCAATACTAATACTGAACACAGCACTCAAAGTGCAGCCCCACTGGTGCAGAGCACAGAGGAACGATCACCTCCGTGCTCCCACTGGCTGCGCTGTTTCTGATCCAAGCCAGGATGCCATTGGCCTTCTTGTCCACCTGGGCATACTGTTGGCTCTTGTTCGGCCTGCTGTCAACTAACACCCCCAGACTCTTCTTCTTCTCATATGGCTTTCCATCCACTCTGCCCCAAGCTGTAGCATTGCATGGGGTTGTTGTGACCAAAGTGCAGGACTCAGAACTTGGTCTTGTTAAAGCTCATACAATTGGACATAAGATAAATACTTACTAGTAGTGAGAAGCACCCACTGTAAGCTGGCTTCTTACAGCTTTCCTGTAGCATTAAAGTTCTGTTTGCTTTTATCATTATGTCATGGTGGTAATCAATCATTCCCTCTCCTGCCCAAAGCTGTACTGAATATAGGAGTTGTCATTTGATGATTTATACTCTGCCTGCATTGGACCAATGATAGGTTTTATTTAGCAAATATCTCCTGACACAACTGCTATATCAGTGGAGTGTAAGAACTGTGATATAAGTAAAATAACTAGAAAATCAGAGGAGAAAAGACTTATGTAAATAATGACCCCTATTTGCATATCAGGGTTTAATTTCTTACCTGACTTGGCTCTACCTCTTTAAAAACTGTCTTGCATTATTTCAGTCAAGATCTTTAAGCAACATGGAGGTACCCATACTCACAATACTAGTATGTTAAGAGGAAAAAAACCAAAACCTTTTTGTACAATTGTTACAGTAAAAGCGATAGATCCTGACGTAGTCTTGGAGTACAGTAAGAACAAAATGGACATCACCACTATGTCAGTGAAATAATGTTAGTGTCCTGTTAGATTACATTTGTGCTCTCAGACCTAGATACCAACCTTCTCTCTATTTCATCCCCTTTCATCTAAGTATCTGCTGAAAAGAAATGATAAGACCAGCCATCATTCTTCTTTACAAAGGAAAGCTTTCAGAAGTGGTGAAACATAAATGGCTTTTCTATTTCCAGACTGACACAAGAAACATCAAGCGTATATTCTTTGCTGTCAGACTACTTTGAAGGAAATACAAAATAGTAATCACTCACTGCCAAGCAAGTGGAATTCAAAGATTGACTAGAAGTCATTGCATAAATGTCTTCCTAAGGTGTTTCTGAGGTTAACGTAGCAGGCTCATTCGCTCTCTATAATATACATGCATGAGGAAGAATTATAGTTGGAATAATCAACAGCTTTTCAAATGTATATATTAATTAAAATATCGAAGTATTCACACCTCACCACCTTTTGGTCTGCACCTGGAAATCAGATCTAAATTGGCTTTAACTTTAGAATTAATCAGGTAGCATCTTAAAGGAAAATGGATTTCCCTGTGACTACCATCAGATGTTAGTGCTGTGTTGTCTCCCTGCTGTGTGGTTGCATCAGAGTACACAGTTAATGGGGCTGGGCAGAAGAGCTGCTGCTGGATCTTGTAAGGAATGCTGCGAGTGTGTGTTCCTGCTCGGAGAGAAACAGTGCCAACTGAAAGTGTTCTTTTGCTATGTCATGAACGTGGCCTACTCTGCCTGGGGTTCTGCTTGCTTGTGCTGCTTCTGTGGGGCAGGCACTGGCTATGCTGATCAATTTCACTGATTTGGCCCCTGCACGGGGACTGCTGCGTCTGGTCTGCAGCACATCGCCCTTCACTTTCCCAATAGATTGCTGGCATCTGCAGCTGTCTGCCTCATTTTGAGTGCCAGTGCACGTCTGGAGTTTTTTGTAATTGTAATATGCTTTCAGATGCAACTGTCATATTCCTCATTTCTGTTTGGATACATATTGCAATTGTCATAAAACCCCAAATTTCATGTTTTGAGCCTTTATAAAAGAGCATGAAAAAGGGACTAGTGGTTGTACAAAGTGCATTTTTTCTCAGAAACATTTATTCCAGGACTTTACCTTTTAATGCCAGTAGAAGGAACAGTATGGTTCATTCAAATTTTGTAGAGCTATACTGAATTTTATCCTGTACCTTTTTTCCAGTGATATTTTGAAGAAACAATATGGTAATATCATCACAATGTAAAAAGGATCCCTGAGACACAAAATGAGGGTTCTTAAACTTTCATAATCTGGATTCAATAACAGCTATAGAAAGAGACAATGAAACCTTTTTTCCTTCCCTCTTTAGTCCCACATGTAGCCAAGACATTTTTTTCAAATTTTTGTTCCCTTTTGTTGAATTTATTGGAGCAGCCATAATTCTGCAGTTCAGCCTAGAGCGTATAATCTTGGATTTCAGTCAGAATTGTTACAGTTATACCATGTTCTATATGAATTAACTGAGGCTTCTGGAACATTATGGCTTACTTCAAGATTAAACATTAAGTATGTGGCGTTTGGCATTTTGCAAGTCTCATCTTTCCTGAAATCTCCCAATAGCACAGTCTTTTCTACAATGACCCTGAGAGATCCTGATTTCAGAATATGAATTTAAAAGCCAAAGAAATGCATCTTTACAAGAGCTTATTTGTTATAGACTTAACAATACGCTTTTCAGCTCTACCTCACTTTGAAACTGCTGCCTGTACGAATTCAATACCCTACATTGCTATTTGTAAAATTTATGCCAGAGGTAAGGGCTTTAAATCTCATTTACATGGTTCCTTAATAATAAGAGTAGTAAAGTATGTAGCAGTTAGACTGTATTATCGAAGTATTTTCTCTAGATAATAGCCTACGTTTAGGCCTTTATAGAATGCAGTCTTGCCATAGGTGTAATACATGTGTTGTAGGAGCCAAATTAAAATTTTGGGCAACAGGACATTTGCTTTTCCTATCTTACGTTGACTGAAAAAGAACAAAATTTTAAATTGGATGGGAAAGATCTGTGTGGCTCTTTGTTGAGTTACATTGCTGTTATCAGTGAAATTGACAGCAGATGCTATATTGAAAATATATGAAAAGAAGCAATAATGAACCTATGGGACCTCATGCTGTACAGGGAACTCCAACATTTTGCTTTGGTCTGTCCTGCTATAGAAAAATGTTGGAGAGAGCTGTCAAAGGTACGCCTATTTGGTCATTATTGTTTTTAGATTGCACCATATGTGGGAGAGTTAAAACTGAGTGCTGTAGGAATAAGAGGCAGATGTGGGGTTTTTAGGTTTTTGGTTGTTGGGTGTATTTTTTTTTTTTTGCTTTTGGAAAGGTGACCTAAACGTCAAAATTAAGAAAGATGAATTTTTAGCATTGACGAGTCTTCAGGACTTGAAGGCTATTTCTTTTTTCAATTTCTATTCTTTTTGACACATTTAGGTCATCAGCAGTAAAAACGAAAAAATGTGTTTTGCTCATTGAGAGAAAATAAGCCCCTTGAAGAAGATGGCATTAAGGAACACCATAGTGCTCCCCTCAGATAGTCAACCTGCACGTTTTTGAAAAGTTAGCTAGAATTCTGGAAGAAGAAACTTGCTAGTCATGTGGTGGACACACAAGAGTTTTCTATAGTTGGTTTGTTCTCCTTTTCCAAGAACTGCTATGTCTAGAGTCTATTTTCTGTACAGAAAGTTGCCTCTAAGTAAAATGGTGTAATCTAAGTGTCCTTTTATCTTTTTTTCCTCTTTTTTTTTTTTTAATTAGATGTCTATAAAACACGCGCTTCTTTGTGTTTGTGAAAGGTTGTGTGTTCTGTGTGTCATTACCTGATTTAGATCTGCTTGTTTTGTCCTGTATTCTTGAACTGCCTGATCTCTGGACACTGTTTTCACAAACTCTAACTCTTTTTCTTTCGCATCTCCTTCCTGGATTTGCTGCTTCCTTCAGTCTCACGTCAAGGTCAGTATTCATTTTAATAAGGGTGTCTATCATGGTGTTGTATATTAGGCTGAAATTGAGATCTCAAAGAAGATTGCATGTCAAATTGCATGATCCACAAAATAAAAGATCAGAGATTTGGTCAATTTTGTGTAGGAGGATGGGCTGGAAGGAAATGTGTTTAGAAGAAATCTGTACTTAAAGTAAGAATTTGTGTCAAACCCACTGTAGATCAATGTTGTTGTGTATGTGAAAAATGGGGGGAAAAAGCAAGACAATTTAAATAACTTTGGCTTTGTCTATCGTGTCAAGAAGGAAAATACTTGAACTATTCTCTCATATATGTTGTCAAGTGCAAAACTGGTTGCCTTAAAATACTGGTCGCTCTTGTTTCTTAATTGCTGGATTTTTTCATTGTATCTGTGTCTGAAACCTTGTATTGATGTTGTAGAAGCTAACAAGAGGCGATATGCTTTGGAATCTTGTATGGTTAAGCTTCGGCTTAATTTTTTACTGTGTCTTTTTAAAGCAGTTGCTAAAGGTAGATTTAGAATGTCAGTATAGAAATAGCTAGGAATAGACTTCTATGACCTATGTAATCTAACAAGTCAAAGTGCATGATCTAATAGCCCTCATTTACCTAAAAGCATTCAGAAACCATTTTGAACTCTTGTTTTTGCTAGCAGCTTGGTAGCAAGCATCCGTGACTCTTGAGGGAATGATTATAATTATTTCAGGCAATGCCTTTACCCAGAAAGTTTCTGCTTTAATGACTAAAGTTCTGAGTTATTGACCAACATCCGGTTTTTCTATTCCTGATCAACACTGTGAAAAATGTGGTGGTCAATGGAATCCCACGATGGTGTGATGCTGCTGATGCCTTTAAATTGTGTTGGTATTCTGACCTTGACTTGGCGTAGACATTATGCCTGTGGCCTTGGCTGCATGTTTTCCTTCCTCCCACAGCCTGGAAAAAGATTGGAAGTTAATCATGCTGTCCATCAATACCTTCTGTATTCAGTGTGTTGTTCTTGCATGCTTGTAACTGCTGATGAAAGGAGGACTGTCCTTGAATGACCGTCTTCTTGCAGTTCCCTAGGAGCAGGACTGCCTGGAAGCTTTTCTGCCCTGTGAGCATTCTCATCTGAAATACTTATAATTTCTTTCTTTTTTTTTTTTTCCTAAGTGCTGTTTTCATTGGGTAGGCTGTGTTTGCTGGTTGCCACCATCAATGGAGTTTGATATGCTTTGTTTGGCTGTTGAAGTCCTAAATGTTATGAAAGTCAGAGATATTTCAGCTTCAAACCGTATGGCTTTTATCAGTACCTGCACCTATGCTGGAATTCGTAATAAACAAGAAAGGGTTCTGGTTTCAGGGTGTTGTTTGAGGGATTATTTTTTTTTTAATGAATAAATAGCTATTCCATAATGTTATGTTCTACTTTGGAAGCTACCACTTTATTTTTTTCTTAATGGTGTAACAGCAGTTAGTTTTTTTCAGACATGAAAGCAAATGCATCTTCCTGAAAAAGAACTGAGTATGTGCAAAATCACATTAGGTATGTCTGTCTTGTAGAAACAGGAAAATACTTCAAATGTTATCTGCCCTCATTAACAACAGCTGTACTTACCGTAAGCAGTGCAAAACCTTTGAATTTTCTGATCTGACTAATAAGTTTTCATCATCTCTTTCCTGTTGATAAAGTCAGTGAACCAGAACATAAAAATGCAGTCCACATCACTATTGCTGATGTGCCACGTACTAACTGTTTAAAATTCTGAAATCCTAGAGTGGCTGTTATAATGGTTTAGAATAAATAAAATAGACTTGGAAGGTGGGATTAAATCACTTTTCCATAAAGATTTTTCACAATATTTTTCATTGTTGGTGACAATTTTACATAAAGAACTATCTAATCTAATGCTGAGTTCCAGAGAGTAATAAAACTAGTGACACTACTTTGGTGTCATTTGCTTCAGCAGTGAAAAAATTAGAAAAATACCATGAAGTCATATACTACAGTTCTTTTAAGCAGTTCTGATGTACATGTGTCACAAAAGTTGAGATGTTACTACTACAAAACAGAAAAAGTTATCAAAGATATCCAGATTCTTTGTTATACCAAGGAAAATTTGATGCAATAGGAAGTAATAAAAAATACTGTAAGCCTTGTTTCCACACAGCAAAGGGGCTTGGTGATTCAATGAGTAGAGGCTGGTGGCATGAATCCAGATAAAAGTCCATGTAAAATAAAATGCCAGAAAACAAGAATATAACAGCCTTATAAAATCAAAGTAAAAACAAAATACTAAATCTGAGGGAACTGTCTCACTCCTTTTTCCAGCGTCCTGAATTTCTACTACACATCCAATGACCAAGGAAATATTTTAAACATGGTGTCTTTCTGTAAGAAAATGATAGAAAATATTTCTTAGAAAGTTAAGCAACTTTAGAAAGTTCAGAATACTATTTAGTAGCAATGGTAGGATGGTTCCACGCTGAAAACAGAAATCAGGGCATGGAGCTGAACCTGCTGTCTAGGTAAGGCATTCTGTTCTTTGTTTCTATTTTATTTGGTATTCAAGTGCATACTTGCCTAGATGATAGGTGCAGGATCAGACTCAGACAGTGTTAGCCATCTTTCCTGTAATAAACTTGTGCTTCTACTCCATTTGGACATCAGGAAACACGGTTTTACAGTGCGAGTGATGGAGCGTGGGCACAGGCTGCCCAAGGAGTTTGTGGTGTCTCCTCCTTGGAAATGTTCAAAAACCACCGGACAACCTGCTTGAGCAGGGGTGGTTGGTCCAGGTGGACCCAGTGGTCCTTCCTAACCTCTAAAGTTCCATATTAATTGTTATAAATAATAAAATAAATAAATGTGATGTGGTAAGTTACAGGCGTATAGTTGAGTGATTGTCTATGGATCTATGGATTTTTCATTGTTACGGAAATAACTCTCGATATACTGTGCCATGTACTGTATCTCTAAAAAGCTGTGTTTCTGAGTACTGAGAAAATGCCTGGGCAGCCTGGACCAATTTCAGTGCAAGTGTGGCTGGCTCTCTAATTTCATACCTTCAGGGGACTGTTTAGTCTTCATTCTGCCACCGTGCTGATCATTTACTACCTTGGGAAGTGATAAAAATGTTGAATATTTGAGTCAGCAGTGGTTATTTCTTGGGCAGCAGAGCCAGATACATTGTTTTCAAAGAAGTTTCCATTTAAATGTCATTTCTAAAAAGTAATGTGCTCTAATAATTGCTTTCTACTTAATGTCTTTTTCCCTTTAATTTTTCTTAAATAAAAAAAAAATGTTTTTATGGAATTCTTTATATTAAAAAAGCACTCTTTTCTTGTAGGAGTTGTCCATTCCTTGTGAATGAAGAAAAAAAGTAAAGCATCTGTAAAATGATAGTGGAAAACAAAAGATTGAAGAAGTCAGACTTTTTGGTTGTTAAGGCTAGATAGTGATGAGTAGAGCACAGACACTGTTTTTTTGTTAAAATAGGTCACTGGCAAAGTCTTTAGGATTTGCTTTAGGAATAGAGATTTCCTTATCCCTTTGAAGTGGAGTCTATAGCTTTTCTGTCAAAGGTCGTTTTTTCTTGCCTTGTTTCACTGTATCTTAACAAAGCACAGTTATTCACAGATGTACATCACCTCAAAATTCTCACTTTCCTGCAGTCTTGTATGATCTGATTTCTTTCCTGCTACCTGCTGAAAATAACTTAACTGATGAGCTGTTTTTCTTTTTATGTTATTGCTCTATTTTCAGTACACATACTCGCAAAGCGTACGGCTTTCCTGTGGGAGTTAGAATGGAGAGGCACATGGGGGGCTGTTTGTGTGTCGGCAGTACGCTACGAATTCTGAGTCAACTGTGCTCTAAGATCTGAGAATTCTCTCAAAATTTTCCTTTTCTGAATATAACTGAAAGCAAAGCATCTTACCATACTACTTGAAAAATCAAAACAAAACATTATATAGAAGACATTTTATTACGTCTTTATGTTAATTACAAAGTTAATAAATCATCTAGCTTGTCTTCAGAAGATTATCAGAAATTATCATTCAAACTTCATGCAACATTAAACATTTTGATTAACCTATATGTGTCACATCACATTTAGTCATAGGAATAAAATCTGAACATTATTTTTCTTCTTTAAGGGCTAACTTCTATGCAAAAGTGTACCCCTCCAATGGCTAGACTTTTATTCCTGTCGAAACTCTAAAAGCCACGTAGGGTATGGACAGATAGTGAATTTGTGGTTTTAATTAGCCTTGGCACAAATGTTTTCTTAACTGTCTACCAAAATATTTAGCAGAACCTGAATTCACGGAAAAAAATGCAGAGAATTCAGCTGGGGAGGGGACCTTAAATGTCACAGAAGAGGGTGAGGAGCTCAGTAATTTCTTGTACTGGTAACTTTACTGATAATGACTGCTTTCAGATTTCCTAACTCCTCAAGCTTAGTGGCAGAGTCTGCAGGAGTGAAGCATTACCCACAGAAATGGAAATGCAAGTTATGGACTATTTAAGCAAATTGGAAATATGCAGGTTGATGGAATCAGATCAGATACATACAGGATTGCCAAGGGAGCCAGCTGATGTCATTGCAAGAACTCTTTCTGTCATCTTCAAAAGCTCATGGTTGTCAGGAAACCTTCCTGATGACTGGCAAGCATCATGTCCGTTTCTAAGAAGGATGAAAAAGAGGGTCCAAAGAATTATTTGGAGTAGATCCTCCTGAAGGCCATTTTCATGCATCTGAAGGACAAGAAGCTGATAGGGAACAGCCAGTTGGCTCTATAAAGGTAAATCATGCCTGACCAACTTGATTGCCTTCAATGATGAGATTACTGTCTTAGAAGGGAATCATCACTATTTAATGTTTTTTTTTTAATGATGTGGATGATGAGATAAAATGTGCCCTCAGAATTTCATGGGTGTGGTTATGGAGGGTAGGGCTGTTATTTAGGATGACCTTGACAGACTGTGGAAAAGAGCTGACAG